GGCGGGTGCAGGGTGGAGGGCGTTATTGGGGAAAAACTGTAAAACTTTCAACAATAAAGATAGAAACTTTTTAAAAAAGACTGTACTAGTGTGAAACTTTTAGAGCAAGCTCCAGCAGAGTAGGCCACGCTACAAAGTAATGTGCGCTGTAAGTAATTTTGCATAGTTTTTAATGACTAGATAGACGTGGCAGCCATGGGGGTGCCTTCCAGCTGACCCTTGGAGAAGCCAACCCACGTAGGAAAAGATGCTGAACGTCACTAGAGACACGCAAGTCAAACCCACGGGGACATGTCCCCTCGCGCCCAGTGGGAGGCCGCAGAGCAGCACATTCCCACGCGACACGCAGGGCTGGTTGAGAAGTGGGAAAAGCGAACTTACTAAGTCTAGTGGCCGGGGACACGCGGGGGGAACGCGCCAACACGCCGCGGGGCCGGCCCACGCGTGTCCGCGGCGGCCGCCAGCAGAGCCGAGCTGTCCACCGCAAGCGGGCCAAAGGTGAATCTAAAAATACTCGCCCCGCGCAGGCGCGGAGAACAGCCGCGGCGCCCGGATCCCCAACCGCAGATTCCATACTCTCAGCTCCACTCACAGACCTTGTCTTCGTGGGGGGGAAATTTTCACGTTTCATCCCGCTCGTGAATAATACGCCGTCCGCGCTCCAGGCCGGGGGTTGCGTGTCTTCTAATAAAATTGGAAACGGCGCCCGTGACGAATCTGCTGCTTCCGATGTCAAGGTCCGGTCGGGGCGGCACCGAGACTCTTCCATCGTTAGGATCCCGGCGCCGGGTCCCGCGGGGGAGGAAGCCCGAGCCTGAGCGAGGTGAGTGGCCGCGGCGTGGCCGGAGCGGGGCGCCCCTGGCGGGAAGGACCTAGGTAACTCGGCCTGGACGGTGTGGCCGCGCGCGCGCGTGGCGGGGGGGAGGGGAAGGGGCCGCCATGTTGAAACCTGGCAAATGGAGACACCTTTCGGGGTTGTGTTTTGGGGCGTTGGGGCGATAGCTGGGGTGGCAAGGGGGCTCTTTCCGCGCTCCGTTCACCCGGAAGGTGAGGGGCCGGCGGCCAAAGCCGAGGTGCCTCGGGGTTTCCGGGGGTACAGGCCTTTCCG